AGGATGCGCATTCCGTCCTATTTGGGACTCGTCAGCTGGATGTACCTGCTTCCCAGTGAGTGTTGTTCCCACAACTATAATAAAACTATAACTGTCGCACAAGAAAAGTGGCTACCGTGGCTTGGTGGTTAGGTGGATAACGCTCTAACGTTTGAGGCGATTGGTCACGAGTCCGGCTCCTGGTGGGTACAATATTACTCACTGGAAGGAAGGTACATCCAGCTAACGAGTCCCAAATAGGAAGAAATGGACATCCCAGATTCCACTACTAGCCCCTATTTATCATTACTACTCAGAAGTTTCCATGTTTTTTTAGATGAAACTTCTTGATTCTCATAAACATCAATGCAACTAAACATATAGATATGAAGATCACTGAAAAAAATAGTGTTTAGCAGTGGAATTCAGCATGCACGTTTCGTCTTATTTTGGACTCATCAGCTAAATATACCTACTTCCCAGTGAGTGTTACTTTTCTCAGTAATACGTGAACCTACATCCAATAGATTCCAAGAAAGTTGCTAGCTCTAACACCTGAACTATTCTATATCCGTTGAGCGAAGAGTAGTTGTCGTGATTCAGTATCCTAGTGGATAACCTTTTGATGTTTGAAGCAATTTGTCTTAGGTTTTAATCTGAATAGGAATAACATCACTCACTGAGAGGTAAGTGCATCCAGCTAGCCAGTTCCAAATAGGATGAAACGTGGGTTTTATACTCCACCGTTAGCCACTATCCTCTATTAATACCAAAGTGTAAACATCGGTAATACCGAGGCCAACGCAGTGGCCTATATCCCAATACTGGCCGATTAATTTAGCCTAATCAGTTACGGGAAATTACAAGTTATGATATCTACACTGTGTAATTAAAAATGTTGCAATTTTCTCTGTAATTAAAGAAAGCAAAAATACTGTCAAAATGAACAATTTTTGTGAAAATCAATTTATTCTTTTGAGATGATTTATAACTGTAACACAATAAAAAACTTCGCCTAATTAACCAGTTCAATAATAACTAGCCGGTCCTAAGCCCGGGTAAAGAGGGAAGGTTACGCACAGGGCTAGCAACTCTACTCCGTTAAACAAATCTAACCGCTAAAGAAACTTCAAAGCACAAACAAAATAAAAAAATTTAAAATAAACTTATTCCTCGCTGGAATCGGAGAGACGAAATGATGCCAGTTGGTGAAAGCCTTCGGGAAGCCAACTGGCCGATGTGTCTTCTCTCGATGAAAGCGAAAGTAAACATGAGGACATGGAATGTCCGCACCATGTTTGAACCTGACAAGGCAGTCCAGATTGCAAACGAGATGAGAGGGTATAGCATTGAAGTGCCAGGCTATGAATCTGCGAAAGCAGGTGGAATGGGAGTGGACTCTCCAAACTGTCAACTGGATAATCATTAATCTACTCCGATATTGTCATCCAGACGACAACAACGAACACACTGTGGAAGTGGCTATCATGATGTCCCCAACAGCATCGAAGGCTCACCCTCAAGCAATGGGAACCAATCTCCTCCTCCAGGATCATGACAGCAAGGTTCAACTCAAAAAGACGAAAATTCACAATCACACAGTGCTACTCTGTGCACCTACAAATAATGCAGATCGAGAGAAGAAAGTGGAATTCTACAGACAATTTCAATCAACACTGGACAAGACCCCATCTCAGTTGGCGATATCAAAATTCTAATGCGCGACATGAATGCCAAACTGCGGGAGCGGAAAACACAGGAAAAGAACAAACCATGGGCCGAGAAGCGCTAGGTGAAATGAACGAGAATGGAGGATTGTTTACAGAATTCTGTGCATTCAACGATCTGGTGATTAAAGGCAGTGTGTTCAAGCACAAGGCTATCTACAAAGGGACATGGATTCGATTTCACCAGATGGACACAATACACTAAAAACCAGATCGACTTCATCTCAATCTCAAGAAAGTGGAGACGCCGCCTCCTTGACACAAGGTCAAGAAGAGTAGCAGATGTCGGTTCAGACCACTATCTAGTGGAAGGGGCCTGCCTTCGAAATCAAGTTGAAAACCCTCACGAAACTGGTGATAGACCACAGTTCAAGCACAACACTCGGAAACTGAAGTACGAAACTACAAAGGAAATCTTCACGGCAGCCGCCAAGACAAAATATGAGATATCGTGGAACATCCCTGAAGAAACCTGTATGAAAGAACACTGCAACTCTTTGAAAGAGATGTGGAAAGAAACCCACATAACCGTATTAGGAAGGAAGAAGAAAGGAGATAAGTAATGAATCTCGATGGACACACAGAAGCTGATAGAGCAGGGAGGGAAGGATGGTGAAGTAGAAGATAAAGCAGTGCATGGGTGCACAACGAGAAGAGAATCTGAGTACAACGTATAAAACACCGGAAAAAGAGTGAAAAAGAGTGCACACAAAGAAAAAAGACACTTCTACGACACATTGGTAAGTGAAGCAGAACAGGCTGGAGGCTGGTAGGAGATTCCTACCAACAATATATCAAATAACCAGGTTACTATCTGGGATGGAAGAGATCAACTCAGACGAAACCAATGAAAGATGGTGGAGATAAGCTAGTTACCAAAGAGGAGAAACAAAGGAAACAATGGGTTGACCACCTCGAAAAGCTCTTGAGTCAACTACCACCTGCATGTAACTCATCCAGAAATACCACCAGCAACGTCAGAACTACCAGTGAACACAGACCCTCCGACAAAAGCCGAAGTGAAGTCCTGAATGCCAGAAACCGCTGAAATCCGTGAAAGCAGCAGGACCAGATGGGATTCCGCCAGAAGCATTGAGAACAGTCACAGAGACAACAGCGGACATGTTCACATTACTATTGTAGAAGGTTTAAAAGGAAGGAAGTGAAGGTGCCTGGCGATTGGAAGAAGGGTTACCTTGTCTAACTGCTGAAAGACAGGAGACCGGAACGGACTGGCTGGCTGGCTTCAGGAAGAACAGATCATGTGAGGATCAAATTGCAACGCTAGGCTAAGCATCATCATAGAACAGAGTATATATAGAATGGCAATCAACTCAACTCTACCTCAACTTCATCTACTTTGAAAAGGCCTTTGACAACGTCTACCGAGAAGTAATTTGGCAGGCAGTTGCTTCAGCACCATGAAGTGCCACACACCTTTATCAACCTCATTCAACAACTACATGAAGATGCCACATGCCAAGCGATCCACAATGGGATGCTCAGTGACGACTTTTGAAGTGAAGACAGGAGTAAGACAAGGCTGCCACCTACTATCACCCATGATATTCCTGATTGTGGTCGACTGGATCATGCAGCAAACAGTGGGGAGCGAGAAGAGGGGGATACGCTGTTTGACTGATGAAAAGAGCCTAGAAGATTTGGATTTCGCCACCGATGATGATTTATGTTTAATGTCGTACAAACTCGATGATCTACAGGCGAAAACTGGCAAGTTGGCAGAAGATGCAGCAAAGACGGGACTTCAAGTGAATATAGAGAAGACAGAGGTGATGAAGATGCCCAACCAACACCACCACCAACAACACCACCAACACCACCACCAACACCACCACCAACAACAACAACAACAAACTCCAATCACCATGAACGGAAGAAACTTACTGGAAGTAGCCCCCTTCACCTATCTAGGCAGCACTGTTTCAACTACAGGCGGCGGCACAGACGAGGATGTCAAAGTCAGAATCGGAAAGACAGCAAGACAGGCTTTCATTAGCCTGAAACCAGTGTGGAGATCTACTGCACTGCACTGCACTTAGCGTAAAGCGTGAACAAGATGCGGGTTTTCAACACCAACTTCAGTCAAATCAGTGCTTCTGTATGGCTCAGGGACTTGGAGGGGGTTACGAAAGGGATTTCCAACAAACTACAGACATTCATCAACAACTGCCTACACTGGCTCGATACTGAAGATCAATCAGATGGCCAGAATAATAAGAATAAGCAACAAGGAACTCTGGCTGACTGGCAACGAACCAACCAACAACCTATTGCTGAACAAATATGCAGTGGAAGGAAGTGGAGATGTATTTGGCATACACTGAGAAGGCCGACTGGGGACATCGGGCGACAGGCCAGGCCGTTGAGTGGAAGCCAGATGGGATATGACGAGTTGGGTGTTGGTGCCGAGAGTGACATGGGGGAGATCGTGTGAGGAGGAAATGAGAGGTTGTGGGTTGTCGTGGAGCCAGGTTCAAAAGATTTCAGAGAGTGGAGAGTGGAATGGAGACGTGGTACTGAAGCCTTATGTTCCATCAGGAACCCAACGTTGAAATGATTATAGTAATAAGGAAACATTAGGGAAACCAGTAGAAGGACTGTACTGACATAAGCTAAGACTTGCTGGTTCTGAGGAATTAATCTACTTCCTTTTAAACAAAAAAATCACTGTCCAGTGCTGGTTTATGTCTTGTGTACTTAGGAATAGCTTCCTCGGTGTTCTGTGGGCAGGTTAAAACCTTTGGGGTCAGCCAATTCGTAACTGATGAAAGTCACCTTCTGCTTACATCGAATGATGTCTATTCTATATCGTAAATTGACAAAAGTCGTAAAATGTTAACCACTCAGTTTTGAGGTAGTCGCCTAATGGTAATATGCTCCTCAAGAGATCAGATACCCCTGGTATTAATCACTACTGGATTTCTCGGTCTGCACTTTTGAGAAGTCCCAAACGAGCATAAAACAGCCGTTCACTGGTTTAAGCTTTTCAGTGGTTCTCTTACTTATCCCTGTCCGTAATATAACAAAACAGACAATTTACATCTATTCATATCAACTCCACACATGTTGGCTGGGATAAAAATAACAAAATTTCTGGCTGAACAGAAATGAAGTAAGTGAACGAAGTATCCAGAACTAAAAAACAGTTGAATGGATGTTCTGGGAAAAGAGATTGAAGCTGAAAGACGGGTAGTGGCAGTAATCTTCTAAAATTGACAAGTAATCACAAGTCATGGGTGATGTGAGCGTAGTGAAAGGTGAACAGATACTTACCGACTTTGAGAATAAGATAAACTGAAAATAAAAAGTAAAAGAATATTCTGTTGGTGGTTTATCAACTGAAAACAAGAAAAGCACCGAAATGTCTACAGCTGTTAGTCAAACTTTAGATTATAACTTGTAAATTGACAGAACACATGCATAGCTTTTCTCTGCTAGATAATTTTAGGATGCATAAAAGTTTAGCCTTTCTCTTTTTTTCTGATTGGTATTAATTACGGACTGACATTAGCTAGCGAAACCCTCAAAACCTGGGAGCACTGAATAAATGTTTCGTCCCAGTATAGGACTCCTCGACAGTATACACCTACGATCCAGCTGGTGATTGAAATGTCTGAATACACAGTCAATTGAGTTGAGAATTCTTTATTTTCGGTTTTCATCCCCATAGATCACAGATTAGTCACTGGCTGATCAGATTGAATCAGGTGAGGGCTAACCATTCGACTTGGGTACACACAATTTTTCTATGCAATGGAGTATACATCAGTTCAGTATATACCCACCTATAAATCCAGGTTACAGTAGAAAGTGATTAAGAAACGTAGGGTACAGCTTCTACACCAGAATCACCACAATAGATAAACGTCATTTCCCCTACGTTTAGAAAGATATTCGTAGTCCCATAGGTGAAATATATTCGGAAAGATATAATTACAAGCCTTCAGTTATCATGAAGTCATTGATTTTGTTTGTAAATGTCAACCATTTCTAGTTTTCAATTTCGTCGATTTACACTGTGCGCTTCGATTGTTTTGTGACCCCAATTTTTTGTCAGTTTGATTTATGGAGGTGTAGATTTTCTGTCGTGCTCAAAGTGACTACGTTTATTTTGTAAGTAGATGAATTTAATTTTGGAAATTAATGAATCCATGACTCCATGAATCTATATATATCTTCGTATATTTGCAATATATTGAACCTGAAGAGCGGAGTCTTATGAAACATGCCACCAAGATTCATTTGTTAACTGAGTAAGGAAAGATTGTTGAGAATTACAAGATGTGTGCTGTGATTGATGATATTTCTAACAGTATATCGAAAGCCAGAGTGGTAAACGCTAATCTAGGCCAACTATAGCACCACGTTGATGTTAACCTGGCTGTATACAATGTAGTAGACAGGGAGATTTCGCTGTACTTCTGTGTAAACTATCCTCGTTTAACTGAGGATATTTGATGACTCTAATTTTCAATCACTGCTCCCCCTATAGGATTGATCGCATCCAGTGGAAACACTATATAAATAATTTTCAGGTGAAGCTGGGTGTTATTGGGTGAGATAAAGATAGTCATTCATTGGGTGTCATCGTTGTGAAACATCATCCTCGGTGACCCTCTCACCGCTTACTACTCTCTTACCCTGTGGCTGGTTGGAAGAAGTCAGGGGTGGTCAGTGTGTGATATGGTACATAGGATGAAGGGCAGTTATGCCGAGTTAGCGTCTTGAGGCGCCTCGCTGCCTACTGGATGGATTATGAGAAATCATACAAACACGGTGGCTTAAAACGACGGAAAACATGATTGAAAACCGAGACTACTGGTAATTATGCTGCAGTTTTCTTGCTTGTTCTATTGCTAGAAAGTGGATTGAAAGTGATGAATCCTTCTACGAAAGCATCTTTAAGACTGCTTTTGTTTTCGTTTCAATTCTATATTCTGTTTTCTATGTCTCCATAATATTACTATATTATTTTCTATGTCATATCTCATTTCTTTACTATATCCAGTTTGTATTCCAATAATAAAGTAATATAACCTGGTTCATTTGAAAGTGAGAGACAGCTGTTTAGTATACAGGTTGTAAACTTACAACACTGGAATATGATCAACTATAAGCGGAGATATTCTGTGTAGTCAAGCGACAACATACGATATATGCTTTTAATATTGATTTCAATTTAAAGAAACCTTTTGTAAACCTTCATTACAAATAAATCAGCCAATCCAGGTTACTTAACTGATAGAAAGCAGCCTATACAGAAATCAACATTTTAAGTCATCAGCTGCTAAAGTGGAGATTTCGTATTTCAATTGATGTTCTATTTCACTGTGTGGTCAGGAAAAATCTCAGTGGACAAATCTGTCCTACAACTAGCCAATCAAAACAAGAATTTAACTACTGACCTTGCAGTTTTATATGTTCATGTAAACTGTATATAAATGATATGCTTTTATCGGAAAAAGCGTCTTCCTTACAGTCACAGGTCAGTCTTTGCCTTCTGATTTTCGCGACTAAGTGAAGCATAAGGTTCGAACGGAGGGCAGTCACTATTCATATCCATTTCAAGTGTCTTATCGTGTTATTATCATTCACGTATTTATTATTATTATTCACTCACTCACTTTATAAACAAAACGAAATTCGATTGAAAAGGTTATACTCAGGATTACGGAGCAGAACACTATTTTTGAATAAAGAATGACAGAAATATAAGTTTATCAAGAGATTTCTCTTATTCAGTATCGAAGATATGACAGACAAGGCGCAGTTGTCTCCTTTGTAAACTCTAGAAATACAAATTATGAGAACATTAGAGTCTGTGATGTAGTTTTCACCTGATGAGTAAGATTAGTCATTTGGTCATTCATCTTTAACACAATCAAGCTGTAACAACTAGCCACTTAAAAGAAGATATGTAAGCGAACAATGTTCTTTTCCACTGGCTGTCATAAGGCTTCACTCTAATATACATAATTTTTTCTTATATACAAGACACTCAGCCAACCATGATGAATTCCTTAGTCCCTGATAACAAGGAAATGAAGTATGGAAATACTAAATATCCAGGCAATAAAAATTGTCACTTTGGTTGAGGTTAATGGGGATTTTAATTTTTCAGGTAGTATTCATCACGAAGTGACATCACCTGGAGAACCATTGGATATCTTTTTCGTCCGAGTACGGGACTTCGCCTCCTTGCGGGTCAACCAGTCAGAAGTAAGGCGGATATCAACAGAAAACTTGGTGGATAGTTGCGTTGTGTCCCGGATGGACAGAATTGGAGTAGTGTAGGCGACTGAACTTAGACCAAGTGACTGAATGGTTGACATGTTTGCCAAAAACCTTAAAAGTCCTGAGTTCGATCCCTAGCCAGGTAGTGGGTGCGTACTGTTGAGGAGTGCCAAAATGGGAGGAAACGGTTTTTTAATGCTCCTAAATTTGGATCGGTGTTTTCCCGTGATGGATGTTACCTTAAAACTAATAGCAGTAACAACAATTATCTCAGTGATCATAAGAATAATGGGAACAGCATGGTACTGCAGACATCCAAACAATCAATGTGGGTCAGGAATAAAAGTTGCGTAATATCAAAAAATGGAGCAAACAGATGACCGAAGTTTAAGTAAATAAGACATGTTTATGTGAATGGGGGAACGAGAAGGAAAGAAGATGAAAAACCAAATTTATCTGTGAAGTCGTTTATTGAGTTTTCTCTCACCAAAGCAGAGAGACGGGTTACACGAACTTTGTCTGCACTAAGAACTAATGTTGTTTTCTCCAATTCCCATTCCCTCAATTATGTCATATGCCAGTAGGAATTTCATTCAGAAGATTGTGATAGATGATTTAGAATGCTTTGACCTTACACAATCACTATCGACTAAAAAGCAACAGAATTGAACTTCGTATTGACTTAACTTCTCCCTTGTCTAGCCATGATGGTAGCAGCTCACGTTTTTTCAGGCTGCCATGTGGTACAGCCAATATAACTTGCTCCAAAGCAGCAGCTGAAATGATAATGTACATAGAAGTGGCAAAACTGGACAGTTTGTCTTTTGTCTGAGTAACAATTATCAGGGGACTGGAAAATGATAAGCAAAGATTAACAGTATGGAAAGTCCTTGCGAATGGCTGTAGGCAGCCTCTGGAATAGAACTTCACCAGGTGCTTTCGGATTAAGTTGGAGCTTTATGAATAATGGTTTCTTTTAAAGATTCATTTGTTCAGAATTCCTACTCACTTTTTTGATGTGTCTGTTGATAAAACTATGGGGGTGATCCGTTTCTACCAGGATATTTTGAATGTTTTCTAACTCCTTTTGTATCAAATCATTGAAACAGGTCCTTCGTCTTTTTCAGATGAATGGGGATTTTTAATTTAGAAATAGCATTCATCATGGACTGAAAACAGTTGGGTAGCCACTTAAAATCTGCGAGCACTGGACAGCTGTTTCATCCTAGTATGGGACTCGTCAGCAGTACTGACCCACCGCCCGGATAAGGATCAAACTCAAGACCTTCGGGTTTCATGGCGAACGCTTTAACCATCCAGCCACTGGGTCGGTGTTCATTGGCTCACAATTTCCAACTTCTGTCAATTCACGATATAGAGTGACTATCATCCACCGTCTTCAGTTAGCATCCGCTTCACCTCTGACTGACTGACCCCACAGGTCACGGGTTCTCACTCGAGCTTCGTGATATTCGTCTGGAAGCCGGGTCGTGGGTGCGTACTGCTGAGGGGTCCCATACTAGGACGAAACAGCTGTCCAGTGCTCCCAGATTTTCAATGGTTTCCCAAACGATGTCAGTTCATGATGAATACTACTTCTTAATTCGTTTTTGCCAACATTTTGATAAAAAAAAATGAGCATATCGTCAATATAACGTTTATGTATATCCAGATTATCGATGACACCTTTCAGCAAGCCATTCTTAAGTTTAGAAAGAAAAACGTACGCTAATACTGGATCTACAGGTGAACCCAGGTTAATTCTAATAATTTGTCTGTAATACTTATCATAAAAGAGAAAATGTTCATTTGTGGTGTATCGTAAAAGTAATCGCTTGAGACTTAGTTCTAGAAGTCTAATATTATTCTGTCTTTCCGAAGTCTGTTGACAAATGAATTCTACTGTCTCAGTAGATTTAAAGGAGAAAAAAGACGAAGATATCATATGTTTTCTGTTGATATTCACCTTTCTAAGTAACAAATGAATTTGCATACATCTTTAACGCTATTCTTAACAGCCTGTTTGTGTAGGCGCTGTGGGACCCCGATTAGCCAGTTTAGGATTTCTATCATTATATAAGACTGAGTAAACACTGTTTCTTGTCTATGAGAAATACATCAGTAGACTGCGTTACTTTTTACAATAGAGTATATGCGAATCAGATGTATTGGAGATAATCAAATATCAGGTTGATTTTCCACCATACAAACAGTGGATAGGATGTTGAACAAAGTTGTCTATTCTCTTAGCTTCTCAAGTATTGTTGGTTGGTTTCAGTGTAATGATTTTTAAAAACTATTTTTAGTTTATAAACCTGGTTTATGATTTTGAACACAAAATAGTCATCAAAAAAAATTACGGTTGACATTAAAAGATAGAGTGAATGACGTGGAAACTACTGACTGTCAAACTCATAATAAAATAACTCAGAAATAATTTGAAAGAAGAATAAGAAGTGGCTGATTGACTGATAAAATCAATCTAGAACCTTGCACAAGACTGCATCGCTTCAAGTTTTCATGCTGCACAGAAGTACACAAATAACAAGTGGATAGAAAAGGATTGATATCAAAGTAGATAAAGTAGTGTCAGAGAATAAACATTTTTGAAGATAAAGATTAGTGCGAATACATTATAAGCTTGAGATGTCAAGGAGTGAATACATCTACACCATTGTGACCGATTTTCAGTCATGTCACTAAGCTTCCTCAACCACTAATTTCTTCTCGTCTCAGTGGCCCCAGTCAGGCAGTTTACATCTCCCTACATAAATGACACCAACAGTCACGAACTATATGAACTAGTTTCACGTTTTGATTTAGCCACCATTACCCCTCTTCCAACATAGTTCAACTTCTTCTAGCATAACACATCTAGATAGGTGATGGCTTGGCATGCACAGTACATGTCCAAGCCATCTCAGTCAACTAACAATTACAACCTCATCAATAGACTTTCCTGTCTTGCCTCGAACCGTTCACCTGACCTCAACATTGCTCACACTGTGATTCCAGCACACGTGAGCAATACTGTGAAGACACCTATGGTCAAAGAACTGTAACTGTTTCATGTCTACTACTTTAAACGGCTATGTCTCATAGCCTTACAACAGGACAGAGTGGATACCAGAGCAGTATTCTCTTCCTTTGATAGTTGATAAGATATCTCCCCGACGCCACATATGACGAAAGTTGGAAAATACCAAACGTGCTTTCTGTATCCGAGTTGAAGTTTCGTCAGTAATCACCTCGTTCAGCGGGCTGATGTAACTCGAAGTAAGTGAAGTGATCGACACATTTCACTACTTCAACCCCTATCACCACTCCTGAAGCATAATCTTACATTTGATAGCTTCCACTTATAACGAGTTTTATACAAGAATAAACCAAAGAAAATGTACTATACGATGGTTCCAGTGATCGTTCAATTGATTTTCTCTTTCAATCAAATCTTTTTTTAGGTATTCCCAACAAGAAATATTCATTAAAATTATTATATATTATATTATTTGTCACTTGGGTTCCTGATGGAACATAGGGCTTCAGTACCACGTCTCCATTCCACTCTCCACTCTCTGAAATCTTTTGAACCTAGCTCCATGACAGCCCACAACATCTCATGTCTCCTTCATGTCACCCTCTGTATCGACGCCCAGCTCGTCGTTTCCCATCTGGGTTCCACTCAACGGCCTGGGCAGGTGCATGATGTCCCCACCTGGCCTCCTCAGTGTATGCCAAATACATCTCCACTTCCTTCCACTGCATATTTGTTCAGCGATGGGTTCTTGGTTAGTTGGTTCGTTGCCAGTCAGCCAGAGTTCCTTGTTGCTTATTCTTATTATTCTGGCCATCTGATTGATCTTCAGTATCGAGCCAGTGTAGGCAGTTGTTGATGAATGTCTGTAGTTTGTTGGAAATCCCTTTCGTAACCCCCTCCAAGTCCCTGAGCCATACAGAAGCACTGATTTGACTGAAGTTGGTGTTGAAAACCCGCATCTTGTTCACGCTTTACGCTAAGTGCAGTGCAGTGCAGTAGATCTCCACACTGGTTTCAGGCTAATGAAAGCCTGTCTTGCTGTCTTTCCGATTCTGACTTTGACATCCTCGTCTGTGCCGCCGCCTGTAGTTGAAACAGTGCTGCCTAGATAGGTGGAAGAGGATTCATTAAAATGATAATTAGAAATTATCATAATCTTCTAACCTGTCATGTTTCTGATATTCATTTAGAGTTTTCAATATCGAATCCAGTTCTTGTAGATACTTTTGACATTGTTGATCACGAACATTAAGTTCTTTTCCAACTGATTCAATAAGGCTAAGCCAATCCATGTTTATCAGTTTATCAATTTTATTTATAATCATTGTGTCGTATAATTTTAAACTTTGTACAAGCCAAATACCGATAAATCGCCATATTTCGATGAGTTGTTGTAAATCGAAACACATGGCGGCTAAGTTTGAGATATTTGAGTCTTGAACGTTCGACAGTTGATTAAATACCTAAATTGAGGGAGAATTTATGCAATTCAGGTTATAATTATTTAACTCATATTTTTAAAAACTTTAAAAAATATTTTTATTTATTATTATTTGTCACTTGGGTTTCTGATGGAACATAAGGCTTCAGTACCACGTCTCCATTCCACTCTCCACTCTCTGAAATCTTTTGAACCTGGCTCCACGACAACCCACAACCTCTCATTTCCTCCTCACACGATCCCCGGCACCAACACCCAACTCATCATATCCCATCTGGCTTCCACTCAACGGCCTGGCCTGTCGCTCGATGTCCCCAGTCGGCCTTCTCAGTGTATGCCAAATACATCTCCACTTCCTTCCACTGCATATTTGTTCAGCAATAGGTTGTTGGTTGGTTCGTTGCCAGTCAGCCAGAGTTCCTTGTTGCTTATTCTTATTATTCTGGCCATCTGATCTTCAGTATCGAGCCAGTGTAGGCAGTTGTTGATGAATGTCTGTAGTTTGTTGGAAATCCCTTTCGTAACCCCCTCCAAGTCCCTGAGCCATACAGAAGCACTGATTTGACTGAAGTTGGTGTTGAAAACCCGCATCTTGTTCACGCTTTACGCTAAGTGCAGTGCAGTGCAGTAGATCTCCACACTGGTTTCAGGCTAATGAAAGCCTGTCTTGCTGTCTTTCCGATTCTGACTTTGACATCCTCGTCTGTGCCGCCGCCTGTAGTTGAAACAGTGCTGCCTAGATAGGTGAAGGGGCTACTTCCAGTAAGTTTCTTCCGTTCATGGTGATTGGAGTTTGTTGTTGTTGTTGTTGGTGGTGGTGGTGGTGTTGGTGGTGTTGTTGGTGGTGGTGTTGGTTGGGCATCTTCATCACCTCTGTCTTCTCTATATTCACTTGAAGTCCCGTCTTTGCTGCATCTTCTGCCAACTTGCCAGTTTTCGCCTGTAGATCATCGAGTTTGTACGACATTAAACATAAATCATCATCGGTGGCGAAATCCAAATCTTCTAGGCTCTTTTCATCAGTCAAACAGCGTATCCCCCTCTTCTCGCTCCCCACTGTTTGCTGCATGATCCAGTCGACCACAATCAGGAATATCATGGGTGATAGTAGGTGGCAACCTTGTCTTACTCCTGTCTTCACTTCAAAAGTCGTCACTGAGCATCCCATTATGGATCGTTTGGCATGTGGCATCTTCATGTAGTTGTTGAATGAGGCTGATAAAGGTTTGCGGTATTCCGTAGTATTCAAGCAGTTTCACAAATACCAAGCACTTCAGTGTGATACCTTCTCATTTCGTTTGCAATCTTGGCTGTTTTGCTGGGTTCAAAGATGGTGCAGACATTCCATGTCCTCATGTTTACTTTCACTTTCATCGAGAGAAGACACACCAGCCATTTGGCTTCCCGAAGGCTTTCACCAACTGGCATCATTTTGCCCCTCCGATTCCAGCGAGGAATAAGTTTGTTTTAATTTTTTATATTCTGTTTGTGCTTTGAAGTTTCTTTAGCGGTTAGGTTTGTTTTACGGGTAGGGTTGCAATTCCTATGCCCAACCTTCCCTCTTTACCTGGGCTTAGGACAGGCTAGTAACTAGTGAACTAGTTAACCACGCTAGTTTTTTAAAATTTGTAATGGCTGGTTTTATAGTTGAACTGACAGCGGCACTGGATGATGAGGGTTGGAGTCCCAGCCAGGATATCATTTCCGTATCGCTTGCAGATCCATCTTGCCGACTAGCTCCCACTTGCACAAAACCTAGGTTCAGGACTTCCAGACGATTGACTTCATCCAACTAACAAACCACAAGTCACGTGTGAAGACAGTCACTCAGAAGTAGGAAATGTGGATCATTGGATGTCGACCCAGTGGCCTAATGCTAACGAACTAACCCCGGAACCTGAAGGTCTTGAGGTCAACCCCTGGCGAGTTCGTGGGTCCCCACTGATGAAGAGGCCCACACCAGTAAAAAAACGGCTGTCCAGTGTTTGCACGTTTCCAGTGGTTTTGTTGTTGTTGTTGTACTTTATTTGGTAGCCAGTAGTGGAATTAAGGTCGCACTTTTCGTCTTGTTTGAGACTCATTAGCTGAATGTACCTGCATCCCAATGAGTGATGGCTCTCTTCCTGAAACTCGGACCCAATGCCCGATGCCTTAAATGTCAAAGCAGATACAGGCAGCTGATGATTCCCAAATAGGACGAAACGTGACATTCTTGTTTGCCTTTATAATTTTTTGTTTCTCGTTCTTTGATTTTGTTAATGGTAATATGTTTCACATGTCTGGCTGGCGATAAGTCATTCACAATTTCACGGTTTCACTGGATCAAAGAAGCTCCAGCTATCCACATCTCTCTGCATCTACCGAAGCTATTTTTTAAAACTAACACTCTGTCGTATCTTATTATGTGATTGTATATTTGGTGGTGGGTGGGTGGGAGGGAGCACACGCATATGTATGGCTGAGCTCTTTTCAAGATTCCTTGCTTGGATCTGCCATTCCACATTTAGCTAGACTTCTATGATCTGCTAACGTGACAGATTCTAGTTGACTAGTCTGATCTATATATTTCACCCCTCAATCATTATGTGAATTTCAGCAGACCATACTATCTTGATATAGCAGTATTCACTAGCCAAACTACTTAGTCTCCAAGTTAGTTCATAGGTTTAAACGTCACTCTAATCCTTGCTTTAACGAGCATCCTACGTATAGCTTCTTATGTCTTTTCTTGTGGCAATAACACTGTAAATAGGTCTTAACTCCCTTCTTCATGATAGTACCATCCACAACTTTTATTGCTTTGTGTGTGTGTGTGTGTGTGTGTGTGTGTGTGTGTGTGTGTGTGCATTAGCTGCATTATTCGTATCTTCCCTACTACTTCTTTTAACTTTCTGGATAAGCCTAAGAAACTGTCTGATGAGTAATATCACTTCATTTATACACCTTATTTCATGAAATTGATTTTCGAACCTATTAGTTAATTTTCATACCCTGCTACTCTGGTATTTGATCAAGGTTTTTGTGTTACAGCTTGTAGATTGGACACAAATAATCAGCCACTATGGGCATATGTCCTCCTTTGAAAATACCTCGATATTACCGGTATTCATGCTTCGGCTTTTGAAGTGATCGCTTCTGCGTTTGAATTTTAGTGGGAACAAAATCACTCGCTGGGAGACAGACACATCCAGGTGTTGAGTCTCAAATAGGACAAAATGCTCATCTTGGACTCCGCTACTAGTCACTACTTATCATTTGATCAAGACTGCCTTAACTCGGTAGGAAGCCCTGGAACTAGGAGTTTGATTATTGATTTGACTATCAGGCATGGCATTACTTTGACAAGCCGATCCCCAGTTATACAGTCGACGACTGAAGTTGAAATAAAAACTTTGGCCATATCAGGCGTCGAACCAACCACCCGCCTTCTGGACTAGAGTTCCAACTTCCATCATAACCGCATGACATAAAGAAAATGAAAAGTAACAACTTACATGATAATTGAGAACTTTTAACGCATTATTCCACAATTCATTATCATCCCGCATATCTTTTAGTCTGTTTTCATACATTTTTCTTTGGTACTCATAACAGCACTTCAATTCATTCAATAAATGTTCTTTCATTGAGGCTTCACTCAATTTAGCCTTGAACTATTGAATAAAGTTTTGAAGTAACACATCATTACAAATATGTTACCATAGTTTCAAGTTGTTTTTCTTCAGACTTGTAAACATCATTGCTTTCCGATATCATTTTCATCTTCCTTTGTTATAGGAGATAGGTTAATAAAAAGGATTATATTTTTATTTGAATAAGGTTTGTTCAATTACAACTGGTAATATAATCAACTTACTCATAGATTCTGTTTGTTTCATTAATGTATTTCTCATTTAACAGTGAAGCTTGTTGATAAAGTATCTCTTGACAGAATAGTTCACTGCATAAACTAAATAATTTTACCCAGTTAATACAATATTTTGCTGTCATATTTTGAAGCTTACTTTGAAAATCGAATGGGTACAGATTCAATGAAATTTTTGTAGAATATTCTTATTTGAGCTAAAAGCTTACCACGATCATAACATTCAACAGTTTCCTGAGAAAAGTAAAATAACTTCTTCACTATTTATGTCACTAACTGAAATATAATGCATCATTCATAGTTTAGGCAACGTAAATCCAGGCTACGAGTTGATCGGACAAGATGAGCTCAGCTACAATGATCGATTTAGGCACTTTAGTTTGGAATGGGTAGTATTGAAATCCACTGATTAAAATTTTAAGCCTTAAGGCTGAAGTCGAACTAACGAATTTATGAACAGTCAACTTATTCAGGATGAGGTTTATCGGTATACCAACAAGAAAATTAGTGTTTGCTTAAAATATGGCATGGAATTTCATCTCAGTTTTTTTAGTTTTAACCATAGATTTATGCATTTTCAATGGAAATCACAGCATAAAATCTGTTTTAGTCCGGAACTTTACCACTGTATACCCTTCAATGAATTCATCAACTAAATTCTACTCTACAAACACCCAGGTTATTGAATAATCAATCCATAGAAAAGTTAAGAAGGGAAGACTTGGTTATAAAAATGATAATTCATACGTAGGGATTAAAAAGCTCTTAGAATAACAGCATAAAATGTTCAGTGGAACTATCCACTATATTACTTTGACACAGACTCAAATCATATGAATTTGCGCCTACGTGGCAGCAATCAGTTAACAAATAGTACATCAACAATTAAGTGTATTTTCATACTCACTTCTTGAGTGAACAGCGGACTGCACTGATTAGTCACTGAGAAGTGACCAAATCCGTATTGTCCAGTCATATGAGTTGATGGGATTCCGCCTACCTGTAATGACTGGTAAATGTACCTGACTTAGTCTTGTAGGAGGTCGCTGACGGCCAGAAAAGTTGAGTCCTACGGTCTCTTGCCACAACACTGAGCAGACATCAGGTCGCCTGAGTTTGGTGGTATGCCTAGCTGATGAGTGGCAACATGCAGGAAACATAGATCAGGGTTTGCTGATGATTACCTTCAATCAGCAAACACAACGTTGTTTGAAACTTATTTAAATTGATATCGTGAAACTCACAGATACGCCTGCTTTTTTTCGAGATACATGGAAGCCATACGGCTTTAGGTGTAAGACACCATGAGGAGATATCTGCACTACCAAATGTAGTATTCTAAGAATTTCTGGAAAGCCTATTATTATCTTGAAAGTATGTGCAACTTGGCTTAGCATACAGAAGTAGTGCTTACTTTCCAAGAAATTTTCGCCGTGTAGTATTTAGTGGTGAGAGAGTATTTCCTCTGTGATGTGTTTTAAAACTCCTGTTCTATCTCATTTTTCTTCCCGGAAATTAGTTCTCTACTATGATTTCAGTCTTGTGTTCTGGGTAGTACCCACGTAGGAAATGATGGATGTTTTTTTTGTCACGGAATCAAACCACTAGGTACAAGTAGGTAAGTTGTGAAATGCACGAACAAATGTTACGGATATTTTTTAAATGTATATTTATGGCAGCTGTTATTCCAGAGAAACGAAGTTTTCAACTGATTACTTACATAATGTTAGGAAGCCCATCCTTTCTGTTGGTCCATCTAAAGTATCTGTTTGTATGTAAATTCTGGCCTTTTTTTCAAAATTTCTCATTCGTTGTCTAACCTCGATAAGGTTCATCTTGGTGATATCAAATATAAATACATTCCCAGGTCTTCTGTAATCTTTCATGAGGTGGCTACAGGTTTTCAATCACAGGTCTCTTCGTAGCATTGCTCGCATGTGGTGGAATCACCATGTGAGCAATGTTGACGTCAGGTGAGGGGCACTAGACAAGACGGGAAAGTCGATTCATGAGGCTGTGAACCGCAGTCGACTGAGATGGCTTGGAGATGTACTACGCATGTCTAGCTACCGCCTACCTCGACTTTCAATGTTAGAAGAAGTTACATTGGTTTGGAATAGGGTTCAGAGTGGTTAGACCAAAACATGGCACTAGCCGATAAAATCTCTTAGTATTGGTCTGAGCCATATGAGAATACCTGACTGGGTTCCGTGGGATGACTGGAACGAACGGTTGGGAATTCTTGGTGACAAAGCCAAAAATTGATCACAATGACGCAAACTTATTCACTTTTTGATGTCTTATAAGACTTGAATGTTTTGACCAGCCTTAGTTTTTGAATTCTGTCTCCTTTGTACTTTGTGTACTTTGATAACAATTTTTCCTAGTTTCTTTTGTATGCTACTGTGACGTGTGACAAGTTGAATCGATTCACTTTATGTCTGTGTGCCTTAAGAAGTTTCAAATCAACTGAATAACACTGGCACCGAGTATTTTCAGAGTAAATGATTTTAGGTTTATTTTTGAAAATCCACACGCAATATGTGTTACCTATGTTTTAAATTGCTAAGGATGAACAATCAGCTGACTTGAAATTATGTCACTGTACGCCTCAAAACTGTACAGGTGCATAAGTAACGAAACTCCGATCTCTTTATTTCCACGAAAAGATTATATGAATTCACGTCATCCCGTCCATCGATTTCCAGGTTAAATTATCCTTTGATGAGTAAAGCTTTTGACTTTAAAAAAGTTATGAAATGTCTTACAGTCTTTCCTTGTCCTAACCTTCTTAATTTTTCAACCAATATGGTTTATGTTGCTGACGAGACATATCTAAATCTATGCGAGAATTAAAGTGAATTTCAAAAATGCCTTACATGCCACTAAATAGCCATGAAGTTTGATTATCTAAGATGAACTTTATAAACAAGCAACGGAAATCTGACCGGAAGAGTTTCCGGGTTATTGTTTGTGTGTTGTGAAATACTGAACTCCTACTTTTTTGCTGTACATTCTATCCCGCCAATTTTGATTCAGAAGTTGAGAGCATAAAATGATGTATTACGATGGATTTAGATCTCGCGAGTGCATGTTAGTTAGAGATGTGCATACTACTAATGCGGACAGGAATCACTGAATGGTGATTCACCCTGGATTAGTAATTAATCATTCTACCGTAAACTGACCAGATCGTTCGAACCTTATAAGGCCTTAAGCATTTTACATTTGTATGATCAACACAAAAAGCTGACATAACAGATGCTATTGTTACACCTTCAAATTAAATCAGTGGCAAATAGTACTAAGGTATACATCACACGTATAAATTCACCCTAGAAATGCAATAAAAAGCAAAAGGATATACGTAAAATTCCTTTAATAAACTGAAAGAGAAAACATTTCAAGGTAGGTCAACGTTAGGAAACTAACTATTTGTTGTTAAGCGTCATTCATTGCAATTTTGAAGATGTATAAACTAAAGCGGGTGAGACATTTCTGATGCACTGCAAACGCTTTACTGAAGCATAACAAATAAGTTGAAAGGGGAAAACGAAGAAAGTAGCTATAGGTGTGTCAAAATAAAGCACTGAGACAACTAATATTCACCTGCAGTGGATTTCAGCTGTATGGTGAATCATATAACATCTAAATGGGGTCAGTGTGTAGGTTACATTGGTAAAGAAAGACATTTTGACCAATAAGTTATCACTAGTCATCTAAGGTATTTGGTACTATTGTTACTCATATCTGAAATTGTTTAAAACTGCTAGTTTCTTATTTAGTTGGGTTGTGATAGTTTTTTTCAACAAATTATTATCTTCTTCATTTTTTCCTAAATTGCATGGTACATGGAACTGCTTCATTAATGCATTCAGTCATTAATCGCTGTTTATGAGCATTTTTACTGACATCACAAATCCCAGATTACGATTCCAGTTTACCGAAAAATCCTGTTAAAAAGTCCGCTGAAATTCTTCGGATAGCACTTGAAGACATATGAACAGAAAAGCATGTCAAAAGTTTCAGAAATATACGTTGGTCCTAAATAATGTGCACCACAAAAGAAAAGAATGAGTCTGGCCATATAAAACAGATACCCTGAGGCGAAAAAGATTAACAGTTACAGAGAAGTAAGACACAAGTAATCAGATATCAAGATACTGAAGAACTACTATCCTGAAGAAACAAGTGATCCCACTAAAACTGCGAAATTTCCCGTTGGCACTATAAGCATCCATTAAGAGAGTAAGGATAAATTCTCAACTCTGCTCTTGGAAGTCGGTAGACAGCGGAGTCCTGCAATGCACAGTCCTGGATCCCCTGCTATTTCTACCATGCGTAGATGAGCTGCCAAATATCACGAAACCCCCTATGGTTCTCTACTCTGATGATGTAAAAATCTAACGGGAAATTATGAATGAAGAGGATATATGTGCACTTCAGGCAGACCTAAACGGCTTGCTTACTTGGTCGGAGAAGTGGCTGATGCCTATCAACGCAAGTATGAGCATGCACATGGGGCACACGCCTGGCAACACCGATATTGATGGGACTCCTCTCCCATCAGTTATGACTCACAATGACCTAGGAGTCAGAGTGAGTATACTAGGAGGCTACAAAAGCAAGGAACAAACACAGTCTCCTCATAGTACTGGTTCTCGTGTCGAGTAATCAACTCATGGAAACGACTCCAAGAAGAGGTGGTGTCCGAATCACGAACTGACTCGTTCAAAAATGGGAAAATGGAAAAGCACAGAAATTTACTGGAAAAGGGTTGCTATGGGTTCATACCCTTCTCTCCTCAAACAACCAATATGAATCAAATCTGAATCTATAAGTCATAAAAGTGAGTCAACCTGTTCTGAGCTCACGTTAAGTTCGCCGATAATAAACTCAAAAGTCTGAAAGCAGAAGACACTGCATTTTTCCGTAATTCACTTTGCAACTGCCCCTTCCTACAGTCGTAAACAAATCCTATTTGGAAAGTATCAAAACCTCAGCTTTGAAGTATTTTTTAGCAGTGTGTTCGAAATATCCTAACGAATATGTAGGTATTTCAGTCGGATCACACACAGGTTTCCACAAGAATTATTTGCACTCAGCGTAGATTTCTGAACCATTTCGGCTTTTTCTATACCGAATAAAATATGACACCTTTCTCCTAGTGATTTGTTTATTCTTACATTACTAGACCAGTACAAAATTTGGCAAGTGTCAAATATTACCTGTCGAATCAGCTCTGAAAGATACTCATTATAGTAAAAGTTTTCGTGTTCGATACACTTCAGAAAATTAAAAATAAAGGTAGTCGCTTTCGGATGAATATTATCTGCATTAAGGTGTACAGGTGATTTCTGTCGTCCAACTCTCACCGTGTTTTCATAATAGGTCGGCAACCTAAAAATGAATAAAAACATTACATACAGCTTAGGAAGAGTGATGCTTCTCCCAGTATTGTCACTGAACATAACTGTAAATTGGCTGTGAATTTATAAATGGTAGTCAAATCCTCAATTACTTGTCATCAATGGAGACCAAACTGCGTTGTTCAACTTTAATCAGTGACAGAAATACAGGATTTGGAGCAGTGGCCTCGACTTCATGTGCAGATAGCTTCTAGTGCTCAAGTAGCTAAAATCTCAATTAGAATCTACCTCAAAAGGATGTGTTGGAATGACAAAGTATCGACGACTAACACAATCATGCTGTACTTAACTTTTAAAATACCTTAGATCCGAGCATTTTAAAGGATCTTCGAGTAAATGCTTGAACCGTTCTCGAGTTCTTTGAAAACCCCAAGCACATGATGGTCTTCCCATATTAGGCGGTATTTGCTAATGACCTTTCAGATCCAGGTAACACAATAAGTCAGGTAGACAAACAAAGGTATTACATTTCAAGAGATCTAGAAGATGACTCATGTGACCACTTTGTTACTGTAGGCGACTCTCTTTCGACTTTACGTTCGATTTGAAAAAAACAATGGTATTTGAAGTGGGTTGACCATTTTGTTTATTTTGGAATATTTACTGTGTTTTGGTTCATTTTCTCCCTGAACAAACTTATATTTATCCCTCATTTATCTGATGACAGTATCAAAAGACGTCTGTGTAGTTTATAGCCAGGTCATAGGCTTGGTCTAAGTGGCGAAGTTGCGTAATCTCAATTAGTTCTTAAAAGCCTCAGTGAGGAAGGGCATAACATTATGTCTTTCTTTTTATAACCACTACCAAGAGGCCTACCGTGTATCGGGGTAGAACAGAAAACTTCACTTTGAGAGACTGCTTCGCTGTCAGCATAGCTCTGCAGCAGACTCCTACAGTTTTGAGTTTCCCATTCACCATCTGATAAGCACCGAAAGAAAGGCTTGAATAAATGTGGGCAGGTAAGTGCAGTTAAAAGTAGTACATTAGAAAACAGTCATGCCTTTGGCAGAGTTTCTGCTACTTTCAGCCGAATAGGAAACTAGACCCCAAGTTGACCAGTTCTCCTCCCACCCAAGTGAGAAGTTATTTGAAAAAATAGACCTCAGTCTCGCCACTTGTAAGGTGTGATTGAAACCATCTGCATTTCATCGCTAGCGCCAGTCAATCCTAAAAGCAACTTCCACCGTTGGCAACTCAGGTGCTTTGAATCACTAGCAAAAAACTATGTAAAAAATTGGGTTTCTATTCACAGGGGGGGCTACACCGCAAAAGTTAGATGGCACCCTTGGTCTTAGGTCGCCCCTACTTTTGGTGTTCAGGGACGTGGACATTCCCCATTGACTCACCATGAGGAGCATTATCTCGCTCAATCGAAGGATGTCTGTCCACTTTTAAGGACCCCACCCTTTAGTCCATTTCTGCAACGCTCAACCCAAAACAACTTCACCTCTGGAGGCTCTTCCAGATCGTTGAGAGTCACCCTTGATTGTACTCGTCAATCAGAACTTACCCTTTTGACAAGCCATTAGTTAGTTGGGGAAGAGTTGTTTGACGTCAGGGTTAGACCTGATGGTCCTTGTCAAGCGGAAACATTCACTACCAGGAACGATGCTGTTCAGTCATCACTAGTGGGATCCCCGAATGTTTTGGCATTAATGCTGCCGAACTTGTCCATAATTTAAGCCACTGGAGAAAATCAGTGAACAAACTCCCCACCAGCATGAGGATGAAAATAACTGAATGTCTTCTATGATAGCTCCATCTGCCTACCATTCGTACCCTAGGTTGCACTAAGTATCCCTGGACTCTCCGAACATGGTAAGAGCAGCTCTCAAGTCAGGGTGCGATAAGCTGGACGTCTTCCTAAGGGATTGCAAGATAATCGAATGCATAACTGGGGAACCAAGGCAGACTGAGGGGAGATCCAAGCATTTACCAGTGGCCAACCCACGTCTAACGATCAAATGGGTGGAGGACGAACAGAATTTTTTATCAACCTTATCCGGACCGAAGAATCCAGTGCTAGTTCTCAATCAAGGAGATCGGTGGATACTGTTATCCTTCGTTCTGCTGCCTTATCATAAAAACTTGTTAAACCCAGTCTCTTAAAAGCTGGCGGTACAATATCCTAGACTCAGCCTACCTCTGGGAAGCCCCGTATTCACACTCTTGTAGGGAGGTGTGTTACTATTTTGCAATGTTTGACTTGACGTGCTCTAGTACCTGCTTAACCAGTACCTTGCCTGACTTGTAAGTGCTGATAATGAAACACAAGTAAAAAGGACCGGTTCGGGAGCCAGAGATTTATTTAGTTGATTTGATTTGATCTATTCATTTTAGCCCTAGTTGTATTCTGGTGCCAGAAAGGGGCACTACACTCTCATTTATCGTATCTGTGAAGATATGCGTGGCCTGTGCTCCAAGATCCCTGAGTTAATGGTTATTAGTTGGTGGGCTTGATCCCAGCTTCATGGCTCCCTGTGAAACATAGCTCGCAGATGACATACGAGGCGATGAAATTATTCCAGCTAATACGGAAGGATAAATCAGAAGGATAAGAAACCAGTGATGCTCTTTAAAACTTGTCTTTCCTTGAAATCCTATGGCACTCCCTAAAGACGTGCTGCGACGCTGTGTTGCACACGGTGCAGGTTCCCGTTTGTTTAGGATTTTCGCCGCCATCCAGCTACTTAAAATAAGGCGATTCAATCCACTAGATGAGCCATGAACTTTTCACAGATCCTCATTATTGAAGATTTTAAGTCCCGTCAATTCTCCACCACTGAAACTTCATCCACCGCCCCAATAATCGTTTGAGACTTGCCACTGGGAAACTCCATGACCAAACAGGTGTCGCAGTGAGTTTACTGAGGGTTTAGCGGTAAGGCATCCTAACCTGGCTGCGTTTATATCAGTCAGTTCATTTGGGCGACCGAATAAATGTTCTCAATCATCTTGAACTGAGCGTGTTCATTTCTGGGAGGCAAGTTACCCTCTAACTGGAAACGGTGGTCTGTCGCTCAAGTAAATGAATGGAAAAAACCAACTGCCTCCAACTATGCACCAATCTCTCTGATCTGTTCAGTCACTAAGGTTTCCGAATGCGCAATAAATGGTTCAGTTCATGATCAATTACTTAAGAATCCAATCCCTAATTTCTGTGGGCATGGCTTTTTACTTGTTGGCAATTCGGAGTACTTGAACCCTCCTATGGAGAAAAACCCCATTCGTATCGGTTTACTTCACTTTGCTAAGACGTTTGAATTATGATATCCCCTGTGAGAAACTTCCACTTATGATGGTACATGGAGAGTTGTAATACTGACTTATAGATCATACTTACACTGGGTTGCAATCAGTTAAAATGGGCTCCTCTTTATCTAATTGGTTCCCGGTGCTGGGTGGTTTGCCTCTGAGTTTTATTCTTGGTCCGCTATTTCTCAAATTTACCAATGACTTGCCAGGATCCCTCAATTCTCATTCACTACCACGTGCCGGCGATATAAGTATTCAAAGGAAAAGGCGGGTGTCAATAGATATTGCGGTCCTCCGTAGGGACCCGTGAAAGATCCTGGATTTGAGGACTGAAAATATGCTCCCTGTTAACGCGGAGAGGTGTAGGATAATGACTGTTGGAGAATACAAAAGCAGTTCCAGTTCTCTTTCTCTGGGTGAGATAAATATTTGTCGCCAAAACATGGGAAAAGCTCTGGGAGTCACTGTAAGTGACACACTTAAGGCTCCAATTCACTGTCGCCCTGAGGGCGACAAGGTTTATGAAGTCCTAAAGCTTCACAAACTTTAAGGAGTCTAACCACAGACCTTTTCACCAAGTTGTATGGACTTTATATCTGTTCTGATTATGAAGTGAGGTCGGTCGCGATATCGTCATGCTTGAAGAAAATAGTCACCTTTGAACAAATTCGGAGAAGTGTTGCGAAAAAATCGACTGTTATGCTGCGAGCCTGGATTGCCGAGTTATTCTTGAGCTGCAGCCGGTAAAATGCCAGGAGATCAGAGTGAATATGATCGTTATGTATCACACTGCCCATGCCCTCTTTATCTAAACACAATTCCCCTAGGCTTTAATCAGGAACGCCAACCTTAGAGACCACCTGTTAAGAGGGCAGCAAGGAAGAACACACAAAGATCCGTGCAGACTCAATTGTAGTTAGGGTTTGCAAACTGTAGAACTCTTTTCTTGCAGAAGTTGTTACGCCCCTTGCACTGATACAAAAGGAGGCTGGGCTCCACATTACGCCCACATATCGTGGTATTTCATATAGGTACCGTGCGTGGTTTATTAGATCTCCTTGAAGCGGCCAGAATCCAATAATCTTGGCCTGAACGCGGGAAATAGCTAGGCGGTGCCAACTGACGTGAATCTGACTAGTTCCTGCGTTCTACTGTATAGCTTCCTAACTTCCGCGAGTGACGCACAGTCAAAGGTTGGATCGAAATATCAAAACACGGTTTGTAGTAATTCAATAGTAGATTCGTAACAAAATCTGTGGTACTATCAAAGCAACAATAAGTTATGTCAAATTACAAAAATACCTCAACAGTGCCGTTGGGTAACTATACAGTCCAAAACGTTCTCGGGTACAAATACGTACTACACGGTAAAAACTGGTTAAAAAATACAACTGTTAAATACCTGTCGGTCAATAGGAATATTCCCGGCAAAAGGGATCAAAACTCTGCCTACAGGAATCAAATCAACAAACAAACGTTCCCAGTAGACAGTCAAAAGACAAACAGTCAAATCACTGCACAACCGTAAGTTGAACCAAAACAAAATGTCGTGCGCAGTAAAACAACATCACCTTATCAACAGTCCAGCGTCACATAATAGGAAAGTGAAACACTCATAATAAGTCTCAAACATACAAAGGCAAATACCGAGTGTAAAGTCAAATAAGACAGTTAAACAAGCAAATAACATTACACCGGCGAGGGTCAAAGGTACACCATCCACAACGAGGGTAAAAATGTTAAAATAAATGTCAATACAATCAAATAAGGGTGATCGGGAGGGATTTTCAGATCATTTTTCCTTTACACCGGCCACCAAAATCCCTCCAGACACGCAAAACACCTCTGTGTATTCAGCCGTGGCTCTATCTACCTAGCTGTCTGCATACTCTATCTTTCTTCTACTCCCTCAAGAAGACAAAGCTTTCTTATATCTCTTCTCACGGTACCTTCCTTCATACGCACCATCACAGTTCTTACTAAATCGTCTTCGTCCTTCTCGCATGTTTCGATCACTCCCAAAGGCCAGGAACCACGTGGTGTTTTTTCAGAGGCCACAATCACCACATCTCCCTCCTTGAAATTTCTTTTCCTTCCCAACCACTTCTGACGAGTTTGCAAGCATGGTAGATATTCTTTCATCCATCGGCGCCAAAATACGTCAGCTAAGTAATTAACTTGTTT